AATACAGCCAGTTTTGTCCTTTTGAACATCACTAACTGAGGCCCTACAGGCAAAACGATTATGTGTTCCATTTCTAACCCAGTGGCTGTTAGTTCAAACCCCCAGCAGTTCTGTAGGAGAAAGATCTGCTCCCATATAAATTCTAGCCTAGAAAATTCTATGTGGCCGTGCTGTTATGTCACATGGGTTCTCTGTGAGCCCAAAAAACCAAATGTAGCCTAATGACAACAACACAATGATGTCCGAATTGTATATTCTGACCAACCTCAACATATTGCGTAGGAATGGATTTTTATCCTTTTAGAGACATATCACAGTATGTGATCATACAAATGATCATAGTATTAAGAATTAGGTTTGCATCTTTTATGGGAAGAATAACCAACGTCAAGAAAGGCAGAAACTAAAATCACACTCCATCTGCCATACTTGTATCTCCCCAAGCGGCCCCTAAATAGACACTCCAACAGTGTGAACATGATGCCAGTTCCTCTCCATGCGCTTATGAAGTCAATGCTGTTGAGGTGTAATGGCCTTCTAGCTGGTGCTGGTCCACCAGCAGGTGTTTGGGGCCTGTAAATCACCCCTGAGGAGATTCTCCATCATCGTCCCTTGGAGTTGGTAGTAGATGAAAAGCACCAGGGAAGTACAGCGGTCAGCAGTGCAATTCCCTGTGCATGGAGCCAGCAGGGCTCCTTCTATGTGCTAACATCAGGGAGGAAAGTTAAGTCCTTGCGTGAGAAGAAGGTGACTGATGTAACTTTCAATTTATCAGTAGTTTTCTTAGGATCTCATGATCTCCACTAACTATTAGGTTGTCTCTCATCCACACAACCTTAAGGCATTGTACAGAACCCATTAATGTGCAACTTCATATAACCACTGACTTCTGAATTCAAAGATTTCCATCTTGATGATGCAGAACGTTGAGATTCTTTAACGGCAGGTTGGCCAGTCCAACTGTAACTGGCTTTGAACTAGCCTACATACAATCTCTAAAAGACACTTAGTCACTGCTTTTGAAAACATCAAATAAGTCACCTCCAATATCATATGAGGCTCATAGTGACACAGCATTCTTAATATTCAGTACAGAGTTGTGGTTGTTATGTACCATCGAATTGTCTGTGACTTATAACAATTGTATGTGCAATAGTCTGAAGCCTGCTCTATCCTGAGCCAGTCTCACTGACTCCTACATACATACCCTCATCGCCCCACGAAATTATGATGAGTTTCTGAGAATACGATTCCATCATCTCCGACAGCAACAACAACAAAGCAAAAACTATCAATAAAGACAAACCAAAACCAAAACAAATTGCACTGGGGTCCTAACACACAGGCAAATTTAATAAGATCTCTTATAACTCAGTAAACAAACCTCACTGAGGACATTTTATTACTACATTTTCCCAAAACATCCAAATCTTTTTTTATATTATTTTCATTCCACATCAAATTTAAACATAAGAGATTAAGTGTCTCCAGTTAGTATTTGAAACACTTATTAAACTCCATTGAGTTGTCAAAGCTATAAGTAAGCAAATTCAAATACTAATGATGATCAATACTGTATACTTAATTCTATTATGTTGAGCTTAAATCTCAGAAGCATGTATCTCTTAAGAGTTTTATAACTGAAAATAATGAATTTGCCTCTCATTCTCCCTGGAGATAAAAGAGAATGAGAAACTCATAACTAAGTCCTTGCTATTCACAATGCTTCCAGTGGGTGTAGCTATGATATTAGAAGGTTAATATTACAGCCTGAACGTTCAGAAAGGATGCCCCCACACTTATAGATTTGTAGTGACTTTCTTTGTCTATAGTTTTCAATTCTATTAGTCAGTGGTATGATTAGTGGAAGAATCTATCAAAACACTTTCAAATGAAGCAGGCTGAAAGGAAAACTCAGGGTCTTTTTTCAATTAAAAAAAAAAGATGATAAATCCTAAATAAAAAAAAAACCAAACCCTCTGAGATATGTATTAAAGCTTGAATCAACACAAATTTGTACATAATGCACTTATTTTTATTTTTTAATAATACAACCATAAACTCACTTATTCTAAATGTTTTCTATATAAATAGGATCTATTACACTAAAAAGAGGATAAATAAAGGGGAAGTCAATTCAATACCAATGCAACTTTATAATTCAGTGATAGGACTGAGCCTTAACATGCCTGTTTATGCAAAAAAGGAGGGAAAAGGAAGTATTTCTCCTAAAATGCGATGGCAGCTTACATGCTGAGATGAACACTGCTAATTCTTGTCTTAACACCACCATATGCCTCCAATTGGATCACAGCACAGTTCTCAAGCAAACACTGTACTTGAAAGCTAACCAAATCAAGGGGCTGTCTTCATCATACACTGACTTATTAACCAATGGGCGGCCAATCCCAGATTATCCAAGTGTTCATCTGGAGGGGCCTCTCCTTTCCTTCCCGACATTCTCCAAAATCCAACCAAATAGTCAAAAGTCCTTTGTGACTCTTCCACAAAAATACTCATTTTTATATTCGCTATACATATACATCTTCCATATAAGTTCAACATATTGCAGAAAGCTAAAACACCTTAGCCTGGAGACTTCATCCATGGGATTTAAATAGATGAATTTAAATAAATTTATTTAAACACGATTGGAATCTAGTTTTTTATAGGGAGAAAAGAGACTAATATTATAGGGCTGAAGAAATCACTGATTCACCTTTTTTTTTTTTAACCTACTGGTTGTAATTCTTAAAACTCCATTAAATCAACCTACCTTCCTTCCTTCCTTCCTTCCTTCCTTCCTTCCTTCCTTCCTTCCTTCCTTCCTTCCTTCCTTCGTTCCTTTTCCAGGTACGGTCTATTTTAAAACATTTCCCCGTAACATTAAATGCCTCCCTTCCATGTTGCAAGGTTGCAAGGTGTCCTGGTGGCACATGACAAAGCACTAAACTCTTAAGCAAATGGTTGGGGGTTCCAATCTTCCCCATTGTTCAGAAGAGAATGATGTGGCAATCTATTCTCATAAGGATTACAGCCTGAAGAACCTGTCAAGTAGGTCTCCTCTGTTGTTTGTGATTGAAATGAGAGAAGACTTGGCAGCACCAAAAAGCCATAAATATAACTTACTGTAAATTGACTAACATACTTGAATAAGAAGTTGAGATATTTGCAGCTTACAACTTGATGATTCACTCACTCACCCAGTCTCTCTTGTGCCTGGTTAGTCCTGACCCAAAGCAACACTCTGTGAGGTTTCGGAGGCTGTAAATGGCATAGCAGGAGGCTGCCACCCATGAACTCTAACAGCTACAGAGGTGCGGGCTTCGAATTAGCAGCTCCTCTCGCCTTGGATCACACGGCCATGGCTCCCCTTAGTCTAGACTGTTGATGGTGGCATGTGCTGTCAAGTAGGAAATGACTCTTAGCTGATTCTCTATTACATTTCCAGAAGCTGTATATCACATGGGAGGACACTGCCCATCTTTCTCCCACAGAGCAGTCGGGGAATCTGAATCACCTGACTTTGGGTTAGAAGTACAACTCTTTTTTTTGTTTTAATTTTATTAAGTTTTGTGTGCATGTACCATCAAATCAGATCTGACTGGTACAGGAGGAGATTGCCCCTCCTTCAATGGCAGAGCATCTGGTGGATTCGAACCATGCACCTCTGGGATTGTAGTTGCAGCTTCTTGCCACTAGGCCACCAGAGCTCCCCAGAAGTACAACTCTTAACCTGCTAAGCCAACAGTCTTCTAGAGTAGGACTCTGCAAACTGTCTATGTAAATGACCAGGTTTTTGGTTTTACTAGCTTGCTTAACTTCCAATTTTTTCATTTATTCATAATGTTTGTAAAATTATGTACTCAGATATTATAACAACGTCAAATTACTATCAGAAGTTTATAAATGCTTACTCTTACTTTTTTTGGTTATAGACTGATTAAGAACATATATGTTGTTGTTGTTGATTGTCTTAGTGTCGAGCGTAACTCATAGCAACCCTATGAACAAATGGCCTGAAGCCCCTCTACAACTATCGACGTTTATCAAAGTTCATCGAGTTTCTCGAGGCATGTTATTTAGGAAGTGGATGCCAGTCCTGCTTCATACATAAATATTAGCAATAAGAGTCAAAACATCCTACATTTCAAGTGCATTCTTTGCTATTTTCTCCTAACTCACTTTAGCAAAAGAAATTCAAAAGATATTTCAAAGAAGATGTCTTTGTAGTTAGGTATAATGCTGATACACATACCACGAGTGATTGGCTTTAACAAAAATGTCTTTTTTCGTTTAGAAGGCTTAGAGTTCAGAGAACTGGCTCTCAGGGAGGCTTTTTCTCCCTTTGGGCTGTGGGGAACGGTCTTGTTTTTTCATCTTCTGCTTCTTGGTTTCTCTGAGATCTCCACGTGTCTTGCCATCAATCAAACTCCATCTTTACTCTTCAAGCTTTCTAATTTAATCTCTTATATTCCAAAAGGGTGCTCTGGTGGCCAAGTGGTAAGGAACTGCACTGTGATCCTAAAGGCACATGGTTCAAATCCACCAGATGATGGTCTGCAGGAGAAGGAAGGTCAGTCTCCTCCTGTGTGATTAACTGCCTCTGAAAACTCGCTGTGAGGTCAGCCATTGAGTCTGACCCAACACCGTGGTACACAACAACAGCATTTCCGAAAATATTGATTTAAAACACAGGCCACACTAATCCTCACTCATGTAACAAGGGTAACTCACTTCCAAACGGGAGTTCAACCACAGGTATAGAGGTTTGGATTTACAACATGTATTTTCAGGGAACATAATTCAATCTCGAATAAAAAAAATAACCAAATACTTTTGAGAAAATGAGATGTGACATGGAACTAAACACACAAATACTCATTTATAAAAGTAATCTTTTCCCTTCCAATGACCAAACAAGACTTTGTCAAGTACTTATCGTAATAGAAATACTATCGATAGGCACAAAGTAGTGATTAGTTAGTGGCATATCTTACCTGGGATGCCTGGTGGTGTTTTCAGGTATTTCCCATTAAAATGTTGAATTACCACTTCACATTTTTCAGTAGACTCCATTCTGGAAAAAGAAGACAAACGAAGCAGCATTTATTTCTGTGAAGTTGCATAAATGATGGGCAAATCTAATAAAAAGAAAAGAAAGGGATGAAGACAGCATGAGGAATTTTGTTCTGAGGATTTTCCAAGAAATGCCTATTGTCACAATGATCGCTGTCATGGGAGAACATTACAAGCGTATTGCCTCGTGCTGTGTTTACTCTCTGTGGAAAGTCATCTTTGACAGGATGACTGGAGAAAGAGTCCTCCAAACCGAGAACACTGAGATAGTGTCTCATTTAAGTCACACAATTAAGTTGGGCAATCGGAAAGGCTCAATATGTATTTATTGAATGTCTGAATTGTCATTAATGACAGCAGAGTTGATTTAAATTTAGAGCGCGCACGCACACACGTGCGCGCGCGCACACACACACACACACACAAAGATTAGCAGAATCACTGAAAGAAAGACAGACACACACCCATCCCCAAATGAGATGGATTGACACAGTGACTTCAGTAATGCATTTGAATGTTTCCAAGATGGTGAAGATGGCATAGAATAGGGCAGGGTTCAGGCTGGCTGTTCACAGGGTCACTGTGGGTGGTACACGACGACGTGGCAGCACCTAACAGCATAGACAGTAGAGATGATTTAGACTTATCATTCTCTTAACACAGTAAATTGTCTCCAGAAAATTCTCTAGATTGTAGTCTTTTCAAAAATTTCTTTTATGAAGTCCTTCAGTATGTCCAAACCATACAACTTTTGGTTAGCAATCTTCATGTCTCTTGGCAAAGGTCAAAGAAGATCTTGCTATCAACTTTCATCTCAATGAGAGCATCATAGTATAGAAGGAAGATGTACTTTGCCACCAACTGGTAGAGTTGGGTGTGACATTACACTTTTCCAACTTCAAAGTCTATAATTACTAAGCATACTCCAGAAAGCAACAAAACATCTATGGGATTCTATAAATAATGTTGATAAGATGTGTTTTATTGGAGTGGGTGGCACTTAAAAGATCTGGTTACTATAGTAAAGTTGGCATTAGGAACATGACAAGTTCACCCAAAAGCATGGTGGCTGAACTAGACCCAAAAAAGAGTTATTTGGTCTCATAAATGTGGAAAGGAGACATATCTACCCAAATCCTTATTAACTTTAAATTTTGAATTTTCATATTAGGTAAGATAATGTTAATATAAATTCCTAAATAGAGTTTATTATGCAAAATTTTGTTATCTTACACATAAAATGATGTTTCAATTTTTTTAACCATATAATGCCAATTTTGGCAGTAGTGTCAAATCTTAAATGCAGTAGCATTTTCTACATTTATGAGTAATCTAATTACATTATGCCCTTTTCTATTTATAGTATGGAGTTGTTTGTCTCATTTTTAAATGCTTCCAGGTCAGCCCTGACTCATAGTGACTCATCTACAATAGAAAAAACCAAAAAACAAAACAAACTAGTTAATCTTGTGCTATGCTCACAATTGTTGCTATGATTGAGTCCACTGTAGCCACTGTGTCTTTTTTAAATTTTTTTTTATTAAATAAATTTTTCTTTTATATTGGCTTGCTTACAAAGTTCATACACATTGTTTTTCATACTATCTTTATTCACTTTGTATTTCATACAATTATCCCCACTACATTTTATAAAGTTAACCACCATTCAAATATACCCACCATTGACCTGTCTTTCAAGATTCCCTGGATCTAGCCCGTTTCCTTTTCCTATACCTCCCTCCATCCATCAAATTGTATGACCTTGTGTCTTGATAAACGTTTTCCACCTTTGCATTAAATCTCTATCAAGCATGATGTCTTTCCTCAATCAGTTGAAAGATCAAGGTGCATTTATTCCAAGCCATAGTCTTTTCCATTTTTTCCTAAGCAAATGGAGGTTGGACAAATAAGGACGACAGAAGAATTAATATTTTTGAGTATTAGTACTGCAGAAGAGTACTGAATATTCCATAGATTACCATAAGAACAAATATGTTCTGAAGAAGGTGCGATGAGGGTGCTCCTGATGGACAAGGATGGTTCAACTTCTCACATACTTTGACTTAGGACATGGTGATGGAAGAGGCCAGGACTTGTTGGGAAAGGTGGAGGGTCAGAGAAAGAGAGGAAGACCCTCAACAAGATGGACTGACAAAGTGACTCACAGTGGACTCGAGTGTATCTGAGATGATCCACAAAACCAAGTGTCATTGCATAGTCAATAACACACAAGTCTCTGCTTTCAGCCAGTATCCAACTGACAATACATCTTGTTCCACACATTCTTCTGAATCTGGCTGGAATTTCTAGTAGTGTTGTAGTGATACACTTTGGTGATAATTTTGAATTGTCATAAGCAAAATTTTACTTGTATGTGATATTGATATTATTCAACAATTTTGGTATTGTGTTAGATTACATTTTAGTTTTTTAACAAGCACTCATATGGATATCTTCCAGTCAGTTGGCTAGATAACTCTTTCTACCTTTTTTAGTATATCTATCCTAGTCATCTACAACTCAACGGCACTTAACGACAACTACAATATTCTAATACTGGAGCTAATACCTCCAGTGTTGCATCAGTTTGTTGAAGCATCTCAATTGGTATTCTGTTAATCCTTTAAGTCTTGTTTTTCACTTCTTCCTGGTCAATTCTTAATCATATGATACCTCCTGAAATAGCTGAATATTGACCAATTCTTTTTGGTACAGAGACTACTTTTTTCCCATCATCATCTTTTTAGGGGAAAAAAACCCCCAACCCATGTTACAATCATTACAATGGGAGTTGACAGAGTAGATTGTATTCTATTTAACAATACATACATATTTTATGACATTAATTAAAAGACCCACTTTGTATCATCACTCTTCCCACTCCATGGTTCTTGCTTCTATTCATTCATCTATCTATCTATCTACCTACCTATCTATCTACCTACCTATCTATCTATCTATCTATCTATCTATCTATCCATCCATCCATCCATCCAACCACTCTCTCCCTTCCTATGTTTGGAGTTTTATCCTTGGACAAATGCTTCTCTTATGATCCTGTGGTTCAAAGTTTATGGAGCTGAATATCTTACTGGTGTTCACTTTACTATCAACACAATTCATCTGTCTACTGTTTGGCTACAAGTTGTGTCATAAAGGTAAATTCAGTTCTACTCTCACAGGCACATACGGGTCATAATCTAGTGGGTACCACCCATCTACATCCACTTCTTGATGCTTTCTTGAGTAAATGGTGTAACTTTTGGGTTTCTGTGATGCTGGATACTATGCCATCAGTGTTTGAAGTGTCAGAAGAATCACCCAAAGTTGAAAGGTTGCACTAGAGCTCCTAGATTAAGAGACTAAGCAACAGGATGAGGCATCACTTCCGTAAGGGTAGGTCTTCTAGGACCTTACAGATAATAGAGAAGTGCAGGTAGCTATAGTATGAGAGGTAGACCCCAGATAGGGTGTAGTCAGTATGTGGAGAGACAGCTGCAAAGAATTATTAACTGGAACATGGAATGTATTAAGTATGAATGTTGCAAAATGGAAAGTTGTACACAATGAAATTCACGCATGAACATCTACATTCTAGGCATTAGATGATTACATTAGATGATTAGATGAACTTCTGGGCATTCTAGTCTGAAATGGATAGGTATGGATCACTTAGAATCAGAAAACTGTATGATCTACTACATCAGGAAGGAAAATCTGAGGAAGAATGATGTTGTATTCATAATTAAAGTGATAATGTCAAGGTCTAGCCTAAAGTCCAATGCTAGACGTGATAGGATACTATCCATAAACAGACAAGGAAGACTTATTAACATGTTGTTGTGTACCAGAATTGGACCTGATCCACAGTTGACCTTCCAGTGGGTTTCAGAGGCAGTTAACCACACAGGAGGAGACTGCCCACCCTTGTCCCACGGAGCAGCAGACTTGAACTGCGTACCTTCGAGATTGCAGCACAGATTCTTATCAGTAGGCCACCAGAGCCCCTTGTTAACATGACTATTACTCAAATACTGCACCAAAACCTAAAGCCAAAAAGGAGGAAATAGAGGATTTCCACTAAATTGTGCAGTCTGAAACTAATCAACTATGAAATAAAGAGGCATTAATAATTATTGGTGACTTAGAGTGCAAACAATGAGAAAGTTGAAATGCACAGACTTTGTGACAAAGATGAGGCTGGAGAGTGGATGAATTTTGTATATTCAATGATTTATTCATAGCACGTAACTTTTTAAAAGAAACACAAAAAGTGACTTTACACATGAACCTCACCCAGCGGACTACACAGGAATCAGAATGACTATATCTGTAGAAGGGATTGTTGGAGAAACTCATTTATCGGCAACCAGAACCAAGCCAGGTGCTGACTGTGGGACAGACCATCCCTCAAACGTGTGCAAATTCACATTAAAGCTGACGGAAATGAAAATAAATCACAAGAACCAACATACAACTTTATGTCTATCCCACCTGAATTTAAAAATCTTAAGAATAGGTTTGAAGTATTGGTCACCAATAATCAAAGACCATGATGGCACCTAGTCATGACTAGAGTCACATCATTTTTGCCCATTGCCACAGAAATGTTACTCTGAAGAAATCTTCAAGAATATTTTGTCCAAAAGGGCGAGACTCTTCCAAGTGTTAAACGCCTTTTATGTGACTTGCAACAAATAGGTAAAGATAACATGTGCTGTGTTCGCAATTTAACCACAAGTTCTCCTAAATAGGAGATATTTTATTTTAAAAGACAAGAATCATCTTTCCTTTCTCTACATATGTAGGAATAACTCCTTATAATTGTCATAAGTTTTATGTTTTATTTCCAGGAGAACCTTTCACAGCAGATCTTCCAACTTCTTAGTATTAATTTTTTTTTAGAGAAGAAACTTCCATTTCTAGGAACAAAAGAATTCTAATTCTGTTCTCTCTTCCCACCGGATCCACTAGCCATTGTCTCGGAGGGAAAATAACCTC